TGAAATGCCATGGGTTGGCTCTTCGCGCAGTAGTCCGCGCAGTACCCCGTCTGCGCATCCTGTGCCCGTTGCGCTGCGCGAACTATCTCTTGCCGCTGTGCTGCAGACAGGTCAGACCCACATCGCTGGCAATCAAACGGGAGCCGGTACGGGACTTGCGCGTCAACATTTGCTCCACGTAGACTGGCTAGCGTTGCTGGGTGACAGCAATTCAGCCACTCGTTGCCATATGGACCGTGCAATGCTCCAACGCGATTCTTCCGACCTTGCGTGGCCATACCGTGCGCTTCTGCTTGGCATGGGCACAGTACTGCTGCGACCGGCGTGACCCAGGCTTCGCGGGGGAAGTCGCTTTTGCATACCCCGGGGCGATCTGCTTTCTGGCAGCCATGCAAGGGCACACGGTCACCTGTCTCTCCACTGGGAGGGTGATAATGATGTTGCTTTAAGAACTGGAGGGTGCTCACATTCTGTGCCAATACTCCTGTGCCCAGGCTCTGCCTTCCTCTTCTGCCGCTTGTTGCGCGACCCATGCGCGACGCTGCTGGTAGGCGGGGATCTGGATCAGAGCCATCGCGTCTTTGTGTTCAGGCCATGAGGCTTCTGCATCGGCAATGCCCTTGGCTATGGCTTCCGCATCGTGGCCTGCGTACGCGCCATGCATGACGTGGCCACTGTACTCTAAGTACGCTACCCGTAAAGCGGCTAGCCGGTCGCAGCTAAGTTGGAAGATTTTTCTGCCAACGAAGCAACACGACAAGGGAACCCCAAAATACCTTGAGATCTTCGGGGTACGGGTATGATATTGGATCAAGAGGCCAACTCCTGTACTGGTCGCCACAGCTAGCCTGTCCGACGCCACGCAGCCTTGGCATGGCCTGAACTGCCACATACGATGCTAACCGCCGAGGCCACCCTCTTCTTTTCTAGGCTTCCGAAGCGACGGCCCCCCTCAAACGCTTCTCGGCGCCTCGCAGGGTGCAACCTTGGCATTGGCATCTCCACCTTTGTGGGCTTTAGCGCAGGCCACAGCTAGCCTGTCCGAGGCCATGCAGCCTTGGCATGGCCTGGGCTGCCACGTACGGTGCTAGCAGCCGAGGCCAGCCTCTTCTTTTCTAGGCTCCCAGGGCGACGGCCCCCCTCAGACGCTTCTCGGCGCCTCGCAGAGTGCAACCTTATTGGCACTGGCATCTCCACCTTTGGCCTTCAGTTACACATGCTACACTCCTCTTGAAAAGGGGTCGGCGGCACCCGGGCGAAGCCCTTACAATCCGGGCGCCGGCCACGCGCACGTTCCCTTGCCGGAGGCCTTCGGTTGGTAACCGAAGGTTATATACGCTCGCCGCCCCTGCCGCCGACCCTTTTGGTGGACCTCCGCCCGACCCTGTGTCGACCCCGTGTCGACCCCCGCCCGAATCCGGTCGACAGATTTATATGTTGTCTAACAGTTTTTTTTGCGCATGATGTGGAAAACATCGTTTTTTACAGTGTTTCGTGGCCTTCGGCGGAGACGACTTGCGCCTAACAGGGCGCCGGTGGTGTCGGTTATGCGTGCCGCGCGGACAGGCTTAATCGACATTTCGTGGGTGTTGGGCACAGAAGTTGCCTAACATATCCCTAACATAGGCCCAAGATAGCCAACATATCCCCAACATAGCCTCCAAGATGGCTCAACATAGGGCCAACATAGGCCAACATGGGACCAACATACGCCAACATAGGCCGAACATAGGCCCAACCTAGGCCAACATAGGCCTAACATAGGCCGACCTAGGCCCAACATAGGCTCAACTTGGGCCCAAGATGTGCCCAACATAGACCACGTGGGCGCAACTTGGCCCAACCTAGGGCCAAGATGCGCACCAGATAGCTTAACTTTGCTCAATATAGGCCCCACCAAGTCTCAGAGAGAGAGAGAGAGAGACAGAGAGAGAGAGAGAGAGCGAGCGAGAGAGAGAGAGGGAGAGAGACAGAGAGACAAAGAGACAGAGAGAGAGAGAGAGAGAGAGCGGGGAACCAGCTGCACATACCCAAACCCAAATAGGCCGGCGCCCGGCTGTCAGGCGTAAGCCTCATAAATTTGCTACTTGTGGAGCTGCCAGTTGAAAAACTGATGTTGGAAGACCTGCTACTCCACCTCTTCTCATAGCTGTTTAGCTTGCAAATGTAGAGATGCACATACATATCCTTGTTTAGTTCGCTGTATATATTCCATGTGTAGAAGTGAACTTGTAGATTTTAGCTGGATGTCTTGCATCTGTAGAACTTACATACGTAGATATCTATTCCGCTCGTGCGAGGAAAATGCTGCTTCTTGATATCTTGCCTGTCGGAGGCGGTGGGGCTGAACGGAAAGTCCTTGCGAAACACGACTCTCTGCAGCATCTTGCGCGTCAGCTCAAACATGAGGGTTCTTTGCGATTCGTTGCTGGTGCGGTGAACCCTCAGCGGGAATCACACGCGCACGATCTGGAACGTGAGGGCGTTTGAGTCTTCATCTCTTTGTTTGGCGGGAGTCTCGCACGAAATGGTCAATTTGTAATTTGAAGCTTGAGCATCTCAAATTTTAAGATGAGGAAGGCTTGCGCGAATGTCCGTCTGTCTTGAAGCTTTCAGATGTTATATAAATTTGATCAAACCTGACACAAAATGCTCACCCAGAACTGGCGACTTTGAAGTACAGAGGTGATGCGGCAAAATTACATAGGTGATGTCACTGGTTTGGCGAGGCCTCGAACCATGGACCGTAAATGCCGCGTGTCGCTGGTGAGCAGGATGATTTGCACTGTAACCATTGTTGCATCTTTTGTGTGGCACATGGTACAAGTATGGCGCCATTACGTGTTGGCGATCCCTTGGTGGAAAGTGCGTTTGTGTGGCTCCGTGCCATTGGGAAGAGTCCCACCATGCTGGCAAGTTCTGGTGTACAGACTGTTTTGCAGAATGAGGCAAAATGCCATCATCCCGATTCAGCGCAGGCGGAGTCTGTAGCTTTTTGGAAGGTCTGAGCTAGCCCCATGCCCATGCCCTACAAAGAGTCTACCAAAGTCCACTTAGTTTTCACTCACTCTTTCATCTACGCTGGCTGCTTCCAAGCTTCGTGACCCTAAAGAAAATCACAAAATGCCATGGCAAGCGGCACACGCGCATGATTTGGCCACAACTGATACATCAAGTCGTCTGTTTGAGACAGGAATAACGCATAATTGCCGCATAATTGTTGATTGGTTCAGCTATTGGAAGCAGCGAAGCCGCCCCTAATCTTCATCTATTCTAGAATCACGAGAGAATCTACGACCAAGAATGTTTGCCAGCAAAGGTGATCCTTCCCAACATCTAACATGACAATGCCGGTCCTGGCTTTTTTGCTATGGCAGCGGCAACATGTTTCATAGCAACCGTGGTCTACTGTGACCAAAACCCTCTGTCAATAAGCAAAGCCCCCTATTTCACACAAAAAAACATGAAGGACTTTCTGAGAAAACACCTGCTGAACAAACAGTGAAACAACCAGCCAAAACTTTGCGACGCCACAAAACACCTTTATGGAGAATACAGAACTTGATCTAGGCAAGCTGGCTGGGTGTTCCCCCAGCAGCGGCAGAAGCTGTTGCCGGGGGGGGCAGGTGCTTCCTGCGAGACACACATCTTCACTCGGCTCAGCTTTGCTTTGAGTTTTGCATTGCGAATCATTGCGCCGTTACACTGCAATGCTCTGACCCCTAAGGAGGGCGTTTTGGCAGCAGCTCGAGGTTCTCCAGTGGAAAACATGACCTGCACCCACAGAAACACGGACCAATTATTGTTTTCGCATCTCAATCGTGCAGGGGTGGCCTAAGCTTTCAAGTACTAAGCTATAGCCTTTCTCTTTGCTCGCCTGGACTGTGGCGACTGCCTTGGGGGTCAAACCAACATGTCCAAGGAAGGCATCGACATCCTGGCCGATTTGACCCAGCATCAAATTCAACATTGAAGAAGGAGAACGTATCTGTCTTCTTGCTTCTGACACCACAATGAAGCATCGATCCATTCAACCTTCAGCTGCAAGAGCGCCTTCAATTCCTTTCCCATGAAAAACAGGCGAGGTCGCAGCCCTTCCCCTGAAGAAATGCAATCGTAAGCCAAAACAAATCATGCCATGCTCGACCTCCTGCGTTGAAAGGAAAGGCAGCACCATGCCACGGCCAAAAGGCAAAAAAAAATTGCAAGCCCTTTTCGTCATGTCCTCGCCTGGTGCAAAAGCACCCAAGGCAAGAGCCTCCAAATCCAAGACGCGGCTGCAAGTGCTCAGCTCCTCAAGATCGGAGTGGACTAAAAAGAAGAAACGACTTGCAGCGACTTGCAGTTTTGCAAGTTCGAACAGGATTTCCTTGAGGATGTAGGCACTGGTGTGTCCTTGCACCGTGCTTTGGATGCGGACCTCACAACTGCACCAAACAAACAGGTCTTGGATCTGCAGGCTTGAAAGCTAGGCGCTGGCTTAGAACAGTGTAGCGAGGCAGTACTCTTCCCACAAAGAGTGCTTTCAAGCATGTGATATCTATGCTGGCAAACTTTATATTTCTCTGTCTCTGCTTGCGTCGTTTTGTTGCACACAAAGGCTTGACCGAAAGACTTTGCCCGACCATTCAGTGTCCCGACACTCACAGGCTGAGCTTCTGGAACAGGCACTTCTGCGAAATGGCAAGGCCAAACAAAGTTTGAAAAGTCTCAAAGAAGCACATTGAACGGTTCGAGTTTCAGCCGTTCGACCCTGTACATGCCAAAAGGACGCTCGACTGAATTACCAAGTTCGACCGGTTCAACGGCCCCTGGAATGAATTTTATAGGAGTGGAGCCTCCAGATGTGGCTTACGGGCACAGCCAGCGTCTAGGCATTACTAACATCTACTGTACTGCACTTTCGCATTGTCTTCATGCAATAGGTTACTGTCTGTGTCCAATCCCTGGAAGCTTGCTGACCTGCATCTCTCAGTGCTATCGGTGTACACTTCAAACTGTCTACATCGGACTTTCCGCCTTTCTTTGGCGGCTCCTTCTCTGACTGTGCGACATCCTCGCAAAAGTGGCTGACTGCTATGCCCTCACTCCCGTTCTGCAAGGCTAGGGTCAGAATCAGAAGATCTGCCGAGAGGAATTTGGAATGCTGTGCCAGTCCTTTTGTGCTGTAGGAGCCCCGCAAAACATCACCTGCAACTGCACATTTTCTGAAAGTATATATAAAAAGACTTGTCAGCACCCTTTTCAAGTTCGCTCTGCAGCAAGTTTGTCAAAGTAACAATAAACAATTGAAGAAGAAAGTGCTAAAAAAGACCGGGTTGGTCCCCCCCCTTTCTTTGGTCCACTACACAAAGAAAGGGACGTTCCCGGGTAACCTTCTCCCCCCCAACCAGGTGGGCCAAACCCCGAACCCTGGCCAGGTCCTAGGGAGTTAAAACGGATGACCTCTCTTTTGCTCCTCACGAGCTCTTTGCTGGTCTTTTAAGGGGTTTTGAACACCTCTTTCCACGTCCCCCAAGACGCCATGAATCGGCAGTCGACCTGCTGCTTTGCAGCGGCTCAAGTGTTGAAAATGATTGGGGTGTGGAGTTTCGAAAAAACGTGCGATAAGGTGCCAAATGCTAAGCAGAAGGTCCTATTTGCATTTCTGTCAGGACAGCCCGG